CGCCTACCCGCCCCCCAAGCCACACACACACACACACACACACACACTCCAAGCCTCCTGTCCAGCACGCCGCCAGAACGAACCTTGGCGAAGACTGCCCTGCCGCCGTCCCAGTGGGTCCTTCACTGTCACGATGGCGGTGGACGCCTGTTCCTTGAAGTAGTCGTCGTACGCGCCACCGGACATAGCTGGGGGCTGCGCGCAAGGGACGACGCGATGATCGTTCAAAGAGGACTGCAAACATAGAGCTCACACAAGCCATGCCCAAAATGCGTGCTCAGATGTAGGGCCAGAGCTTGGCCCCGCAGTGATATGAAACGCGTCCAGGAGATGCCCGGCCAAGCCAGACTGGCGGATCAACCAGCAGCAGCAGCCCAGTCTATAGTGATCGGAACTCTGGTACTCCCTCCTCGCGCCAGATCGGCGGCGCGCAACGGGGGCCTCGTGGGCGCCTCTTGGGCGCCTCGTGCGCTGGGCGTGTCCGCCGGGGTTTACGGCGCGCTCCCGCCCATGAGGGCCTCGTGGGGGCCTCGTAGAGGAGGAGGAGGGGGAGGAGGAGGAGGAGGAGGAGGAGGAGGAGGAGGAGGAGGAGGAGGAGGAGAGGAAGAGGAGGAGGGGGTAGGAGGAGGAGGAGGAGGAGGAGAGGAGCAGGAGGGAGGGAGGAGGAGGAGAGAGGAGGGGGAGGAGAAGGCCTTCCACTGCGCACATCCGGATGGGGCCGAGGCGGTCAGCCGCGCGCCCCCTCCGGAGGGGCGCCCCGTGCCCTGGTGGGTTTGTCCGCCGAGGCTTCGCCGCAGTCCCTCGCGTGGGCTCCTCGTGGGCGCCCTCCTGCTGCTCCTCCTCCTCACACCTCCTCTCTCCCTCCTCCTCTCCTCGTCCTCCTCCTCCCTCCTCCTCCTCCTCCTCCTCCTCCTCCTCCTCCTTTTCCCCCCCCTCCTCCTCCTCCTCCTCCTCGTCCTCCTCCTCGTCCTTCCCCTCCTCCTCCACGAGGCCCCCACGAGGCCCTCATGGGCGGGAGCGCGCCGTAAACCTCGGCGGACACGCCCAGCGCACGAGGCGCCCACGAGGCGCCCACGGCTGGCGGCGCGCAGAGGGGGGCAGGGGAAGGGGGGAAGGTTTCTTAGAAGGCCGCGGCCTCTCGTCTGTAGATAAGGCCCGCGCTTTCTGAGAAGCAGGGGTGTTTCTAAGAGGCCTTCCCCCCTCCACCGACCCCCCTCTGCGCGTGGCCGACACGGGCGGGAGCGTGGGCGAAACCTCGACGGACCGACCCGAAATTGCTTCGAGCACCGCAGTGGGAGCCCCCAAGGGCAAGCACTGCTCGGGGAAATCGAGCGCGAACGAACACACATTACAGCTGCAACCACGATCGCACCCTTGCGGCAGAATACTCTACACAATCATACATGTACGATGGGGGTCATGATTGGGGGGGTCACGATTGGGGTGTCAAGATACGGGGCCACGCTGGGGGGCCACGATGGGGGGATCGGGGCAGGGATAGGGACAGGGGCACAGGTAGGGATAAGGATCAAGCTACCCACCCGCCCGCAAGCCGTCAAGCTCACTGCCACCCCTCCTCCCAACACATAAGTAACACCCGAGCCTCAGCATATTCAGCGGTCGTCTTTGGATGGGAAGCTACTGGAAACCAAAGCCAACCCCAAGTGCACGACGCTTGGGCGAGGTGCGCCACGCGTGCCAGAGGCGCCACGCGCGCCAGGCACCCCAGGGGCCCGAGAGTGCCAGGCACGCCTGGTGCGCCAGATGCGCCACGTGTTCCGAATGCTCCAGGTGTGCCGCACACTCCAGCCAGACCAGGTGCGCTGCGTTCGGGGCACGTGCAGAGTGCGTCAGGTGCGCCTGCGCACGTGACAGCAAACATCGGGAAACATGTCGGCCCCCGCCATCCCTGTCGAAAACCAATGCCCATCATTGTGTCTGGTAGGCCTGCGCACAGCAGGCCACGCGCCACCACCCCCGCCGTCCCTGTCAGAAACCACTTGACATTGATCGCGGGATGGCCGCGCACGATCCAGACTTAGCCGCGAAGTCCCACCAGCCCTCTGGGCGTAGGTGGTTCCGGGAGTTTCCTCTTCCATCTTCCCTTCTTCCCCTTCGGGGAGGGGTTTACCCCTCCCCCTAACCCCCTCCCCTGGACTTGGACGGGGGGGGCGCTGGTAGTTAGAGCGTCCAAAACGGCCTCGGCGAGGAAGCCAAAATCATCGGTTTTACTAGGGTTTTGGCCCCATTTTGGCCTCTTGGGGGGGCAAGGCTAATTAACCCCACCCTCTTCTTTGATCGGTCTCCTCCAAGATGGCCCCAAGAGGCGCCCAGGAGGCCCCAAGAGGCTTCCAAAAGGCCTCCAAGAGGCCCCAAGAGGCCGCCATGAGGCCCCAAGAAGCTCCCAAGAGGCCCCTAAGAGGCTCCCAGGATGGTTCCAAGAGGCCTCCAAGAGGCTCCAAGAGGCCGCCATGCAGCTCCAAGAGACCCCCAAGAGGCCCCAAGAGGCCTCTAACAGGCCCCTAAGAGCCCCCCAAGAGAATCCCAAGCGGCCTCAAGAGGCCCCCCCGAAGCACCCAAGACGCCCAAGAGCCCCCACTGACCGCCAAGAGACCCCCAAGACGTCCGAAGAGGCTTCCAAAAGGCTTCCAAGAGGCATCCGAGCGGCATTCAACCATCCACCCAGCGTCATCATTCTCCGCATCCCTCCTTCGCTCGGTTCCTCGCCACCCCCTCATCTATCCATCTGGCCTCCTCTTCCGCCTCATCCTTTGCACGGATCGGCTGTCCCTCTCGTTGCTCCCCCACTTCCCTGATCTCTTCAACTTGCCTGGACATCGTTTCTGGATGGGCTGGTGGGGACACGCGAAGCGTCAAGAATTTAATTCGCATTGTTTGGGTAATAGCCTTGCGCACCGCAGGGAATATGCTGACACCCCCGCCGTCCCTGTCAAAAACGATATAGAGTGCTCGCAGGCCTCACGGACATGTCTCAAGCCTTTGCCCCACGTGTTTTGCAGTGTCTCTGACAAGGGTGGTGGGGGGCCGCATCGGGCTGGCCGCGCATGCTCCGAATGTGGAGGCAGAGTGCGGTTTGCATTGTTTTTTTGACAAGGGTTGCGGGGGGCGGACCCGCAGGGAGTCGGCATGGCTTTCCGGGTCGGACGCCGGCCGGGTGCATGGGGGAGGGGGGGGGCATGCTGAGACGGAGCAGTGATACAGGGCTGGGGACAAAGGGCTCGGGACGTAGGGATCGAGATCAGGATGGAGATACAGGATACACGTCGGTCGGAAGAAGTAGGTAGTCAGAATCATGAAGTGGGAAGGCGGATGTAGCAGACTGGGCCCAGGTCTTCCCAGAGAGCACCAAAACACACAGCAAAAGCATGCCGGCTCTTGGAGTAGGAAGGCGCTGGAAGCAGATTGGGATCTGGGGCTCCAAAGATACCTACTTTCAACGACTGGCGTGTACTCATGAAAGGAGCAGGGACAGAGGGATCGGGATGGGGACGACAGTGGGAGGCCACGTGCAGCATCGGCAGCCCACGGGAGGCCCCGGGCGGCAGCGTCGACCGACCGATCCGAGATGCGTGCAACGAACCTACCAGTTTCGGCCTCGGGGCCAAGACGGCCCCACTGCAGGAAGGCAGCCGGAGCAGGCCGGCCAATCCAACTCCACTCCATGTCACTGCCCCCTGTCCTCCACTTCCATCGTAGCTCCCCCTCTCTCTTTCTCTCCCTCGCTCTATCTATCTCTCGCTTGCTCTCCCCCTCTCTCTCAGGGTCTCCCCATCATCCCTATTGTTTCCCTCTTGCCCACCCTCCCAATCAGATCCGAATCGGAATCCCCAGAACCATAGGAAGCACAAACACACATACAACAAAACCAACCCTGGAGAACTCTTCTATGTGCGCTGTCATATGATTGCGGACATTCCACCCGAATAGGCAAGTTTGGTTTGGGGGAGGAGGAGGAGGAGGAGGAGGAGGAGGAGGAGGAGGAGGAGGAGGAGAAGGAGGACGAGGAGGAAGAGGAAAACTGCACTAGTAGCTGCGCCGAGCAACTGTAGGGGCTGGGCCAAGAACCTGTTGTACGGGCTGGGCCAAGGGGTTGTTGTAGGAAGGAGAGAACTGAGCTAGTAGCTGCGCCAGGGAGCTGTTGTAGGGGTTGTAGTGAGAGCCGCAGAAGGAGCGGCTTTGAGGGGACTGCACCACTGGCTGAAATAGAAGCTGTAGTACGATTTGTTGTAGGAGCTGCAGTAGGGAGCTGAAATAAGAGCAATGGTGAGAGCTGTAGTGACGGCTCTAGCCGAGGCTGCAACGGGAACTGGTGGCTGTGCCGAAGAACTGTTGTAGCAAGAACGGCATGAGGACATACTACATACGTCGTACTCGGGGCTGCAGTGAAGTTGACTTACTGGTTTCACTGGGACATGAATCAGGAGCTGCACTGGGAGATGCACTGAGAGCTGTCTTGAGATCTGCACTACTGGTTGCAGTTGGACTTGCGATACGAGCGTCAATAAGATTGGTACTGAGCGATGCACTACTATTGTGCTGGGAATTGCAATGATAACTGCGCTCGGATATGTAGTCGGATGTGTACAGGAGCGAGAGAGAGAGAGAGAGCGCTGGAAAACGTCCTGAAGGGACGGCCCTATGAGAGTCCGGCGGGGGCGCCGGAGCGCCAGAAGGCTCACTCGTTGTAGTTGCCGGAATGGAGGAAGCGACGCACATAGTCCAAGAAACCTTCTTCACGAGTCTTTCACCATGGTAGGTTCTGGGCCGTTAATACTCACCATTTGAAATCGTTATCGGTAATGGCCACGTCATGTAGATAAGATACAATGTCATCATGCCAAAGCTTCTTTTGCCCGCCACCATGTCGGCGAAAGGCTGGGCGTAGGTCGGATGAGTACAGGAACGGTAGTCGGAGCTGTAGCATGAGATGTCGTGAATGCAGTCCTAGCGGATGTAGTCGATACTATCGCAGGAGCTGT